TTAAAAGCATCTGGCCATATTTCTCCACTCTATTATTACTACTGTAATAATATACATTAATAAAATAATATACTGTGTGGGTTGGAACTAGATGATTTTAAGGTCCTTTCCAACCCTAACTATTCTATGATTCTGCTATTCTACTTACTGGTAGTACTGGGATTATGCTGTATTTGGCATGCACTACAGGTAAAAATGGTAATAACCTAATGATCTAACAGAGTAACTGCAAATAAGAGTCTTTGCTGTAGAAAGTATATTCTGAATGCATGGCAAAGAGTGATGGTTACATAAATATGTAAACTTTTGCTTTGCTAGCACAGGTATTTACAAAAGTGTAGGAGGCTGGAATTCCATTTTGCAGTGATTATGGGTATTTGTTATCTTTTCCAGCCTGTGCAGAGATGGATGCCATCTCGTCTTGTGTCTGGTAATATGTAAAGTCAAACTACGGCATATTTCCCTACCCTTTGGGGAAATGAGAATTCTCCCCTTTCACTGGATGTGTGTGTACCCACAGTTACTCTGTGTACTGCTGCTCCTTATTCTGTTAGTTGTGACTGCCTAAATTTTTTTTCTTTTTATTTTACCTTTGTACTGTAGTTTTTCTTTGGGATATTTTTCATTCTAGCGTTCACAATGTCTTCTTGACAGTAGATGAGAACAAATTAATTTCTGCTGGGGCTGCTTCGTATGTTCTTACAGACTGAGATTGAAAACCTTTTTCTGATCCCTCTTACTGCTTCAATCCTTTCCCTCACCAGGCTGCTTTCCAGTTTCCGTAGGGTGAGGTCTGTTTTGCTGGCAAAATCGAGGCTGTTTTTCAAACTTGTTTGTGAACCACAAACTGTGGTATCTCTACCCTACACAGAAACACAAGGGATCAGTTGGTGTGATGGCTTTTTCATGTGGCACTGTACTGAGGCACACTGGGCCTTCCTCCCAGCAGTCATACAACCTTGCACTGGCTGGGTAGCTACTTCCAGTAATGAGTTATTACTGACTTTGATGCCTGCTCCCATGTGTGCCACAGATATGCACTTAGAGACATAACATTCCATATCCATGCTTTTTATTTCATGAACATACTACCTCATCTCCAATTAGTGGTTCCATTTGTGTTTCAAAACCATCTTTACAGCAGTAATGGTAATTGCTTATTTGGAGAAGAACATTTGCTTAATTAAGATTTACCTCTTTTATGATCATTTTTACAGCACCCAGTTCATTGGGCCACTAGCAATTGATCTTTTTGCTCTATGTGATTTGACCAATACATGCATAATGCCAAATTTCCTTATAGGAAAATTATTGGCTGTGCTCGCTGATCCTGGCAAATAATAACACTTTCAATGTAAAGTGCAGTTGTATAGAAGCATCAGAGACCTGGCTTCTGGCTTGGTATGGGTCTTAGACCAAAATGCCCAGGGCATTTCATTCACAGAAGACCTTCTCCTAAATAACAAAACCTTTAGGTGAAAGAAACACTTCCTCACTTCCTTCTTCCAGCCCCCCCCCCCGAAAAACAAAACAAAACAAAACAAACAAAATAAAACAACCAACAAAAAACTAAAGTATTTCCTGGTTCTGTCAGCATGTGATTTTTTTTGTTGTGAGGTATCTGGCTCACCTGGGATAAACTGCCCTTGAGAATATCATCTTGAATAAGAGATGCCGAACTCTACATACTGCTGAAATCCATCCCCTCCACTCACGTAAAATTTGTATGACATCTTGTAAATAGGTGCAATGCCATTGGAGAGAATGAGCGTAAGTGTCCATGTGTCAAGTGAAGTCTGGGTACGAAGCTGACCGATTTCTGTCCTAGAGTGTTGCAATGTTTTGGCTTTGGCTAATATGTATCTCGCCATTGCTGTATTTGAAAGATGGATTAACTCTAGAAAATTAAAAGATGTTTTCCACTAAAATGACTTTCAGCTCTTTTAAAAGAGATTCTGATGTCTGGAAGAGAGAATGTGAAAAAGTAACCCCAACACCTTTATCCCTCAGAAACATGCTACAAAAGGGAATTATGCACTTTATAAGAATATTTCTGTGGACTCAAAGTGTTTCCTGCTAAATAACTCAGGCCTTTGTGGAAAATGCCTTGGTGACCTTCTGCAGCTTTCCACCTGCAGAACCTTGTACATATTTTCTGCTGAACAGGGCAGAAAATGAGCTCCATTTGGACTGCAGCAAGCCATCTGAATAAATCATGTTTCAAGTACATGACCCATTTTCTTCTCAGTGGAATATCATACTCTGCTAATGGAAGCTTTCTGGTTTCAATACAGTTGTCTTTTTTCCGGGCAGTGAAAGGAAAAGCTTTCTCTGGCAATAAATATAAAGTCTTCAATGCAAACAATAAAATATAATATCTTAAATGCAAACAACAGAGCCATAGTGAGATACTGGCAAGGCAGTAATTGCACTGCTGTGCTGACATGAGACACAGCTTGTCATGCTTTCTCCTTCCATGTTTTCTTTTGAAGGAATTGCAACAAAAACCAAAATGGGACTAAAACTCTGATTCCCAAGGGGAACTTTACTGAAAGTTTTAAGTCTAAATTGGATCATCCTTTGGAGAAATATGGATTTGGGGATGTCATGGCTGACCATTATGTCTTTGCTGGCTAACTCAAAATTCTACTTCATATCGAAATTTGTACCTCTGAGTGGTTTTGTTGTTGTTATTTCTTTTTCTTTTTGTTTTTAAATTGTGTTATCTAAAATGTGTCTAACTGCTGGGGGATCTTTTTTTCGTGATTCTTCAGAAATATTTCCAACCTACTTTCTTGAGTTCCCATCTGAACTGTTGTAAGACCATTACTGAAATTACTGAAACAACTTGAAGGCTGGAAAAAGTAACATTCTACTTCATGTTCTTTCAAGCAAAGAGTGTATTTCTTTCTTACACTCATGAGAAGGCCAAGAAAGTCTTTCATTTCTCAGGGTGGAATCGTTTTCTTACCCTTATCCCAGCACTTTTTCATGTGAAGATACAGGTAAAGCTGTCAGCAGTCATTTAAACTATGCCAACTGACTTTGCATGAGAGAAAATAAGGAACTATCACACAATTCGTCTGGATCATTAAATCTGTCATTTTAACATGTATTCCTCAATGAGAATGGCAGCAAACACCTAGGGGTAAAAACAGCTAAGCTGCCAGTTTATGCAGTTTACTGCTGCAACTGGAGATAGGATGAATCAATGACAAATCACAACATTATGATGCAAGACCAGTATGTCCTTGGACATTTTTGTTTAATAAATTTAACATTGATGCTTTTTAAATTCATAAAGTCATGTTTTCTGTTGATGCCCTGGGCTTCACCAGAAGTGTTTCATTTAATTACTGTTTAAGTATTTTTTTAAAAAGCAAGCACTTCTATTTATGCTTTTAGTGTTATAGAGATGCCCCTCTGCTCATTTAAGTATTTGGGGTTTGGATTTTGTTGTTGGTTTTATTTATTTGGTTTTTGGTTTGTTTGCTTGCTTGCTTTCCAAATGGCAAACTGGGAAATACACTTTCATTATGTTTGCCTTTGTTTTTCCTACTGCTTATTTTTCTACTTAGCTCTGAACTACCACTCTGAATTGGGTAAATATTCCTTAGGAAACGTTATTAATCTCAAGCCCACAGCACCTGTACTTGACCCATACGTGTTATTTTCTCCAGTGTAGAAAAGAGTAAAGAAGAAAATTAAGTAATTTATACTTACTTCGTTACTTGTTCTCAGAGTTTAGCAGACATACGAATTTTATTTCTGAACACAAAAATTTCAAAATGCTAGCAATAAATGTAGAATGTGATGATTGTTTGTTTTCAAATTCATCTATATATTTTTGCTCAGAGCACAGATTTATACAAATTGAGTGCATTAATATATTTGGGGTTGGGTGCCTGTTTTTGATTTCCAGAAAATTGGTTGCACTGTTTAACCAACCATTCTCATTTTTGAACTAAATAAATCACTGTACGAAACCATTTCAACTGTTTAACAGCTTTCTGTTGGTTTGAGCATCTAAAACTAATGAATCAGTTTAAAAAATGCATTTGTGGTGACTGGGGTGTGTCACTTGCTTTTGCCTTTTTGTTACATATGTATAATATTTTCCAGGCTAATAATAAGAGCAAGCAAGTAGTAGAGGTTCTGGTGTGTTCAAATGATCTTAAGGTCAGTGGACTGTGATAAGAAGACCAAGGCTTTGTTAGAAAATCTTTTGTCCATGTTGGGTGTGTATTGTTTTCCCTTCTGTACCTTGCTGCGGCATTAAATTGTAAATTTTTGGGGATGAGATATTTAGTTATCCCGTGGCTTCAATTAATAAATGAACTAACCTTTGTTACTTTACTAAGTTAGTATTTTGGGAAGCTTGGAAACTGAAAACCCAGATTTATTCATGGAAGGGATTATTTTTATGTTATAGAATAATGTCAAGCCCTATCTGTATGACTGGCTGTAATAATTACAGATGTATAACACTGTTATGCCTGATGAAGATTTATGGTGCTATCTCTTACTGCTAACTTTGGAGGAAACTCTCTTTAATTTGTGAATTGATTTCTCTCCACAACTGTACTGTGCTATGATGGCAGATGGCTGAATCAAAATTACTGTAAAACTTATGTTAAGTGAGAACGTACCAGAACAAAAATATTCGTCCAAATCATACAAATTTATTCTGTTCCCCCATGTGTGCTGTAATATGTATGTAGCTGCTAAACTTTCAGTTGGCCCAGCCTGTCCCAACTTTCAGCCTCACACCAACTTTAAGGAAAAATCCACATATGAAATTTCTGGATGGAAAAGCAAAAGTTTTTGCAAAGGCTACAGGTGTAAACCATCAAGAAGTACAAAGTGTATGTTGAAATACAGTGCGTTCTCTTTTCTCCTTATCAGATAAACGTTGATGTCTGTTCACTGCTATAAAGCAGACTTTATGGTTAGTCTGAGTTGAAGTAGAAACACAAAATAGAGACAGCCACAAAGAAGGCAACATTGCTTTATGTTTATTTACTAATGCTTACAAAAGTTCTGAATGTATAGCAACGCTAAACATTAATTGCTGCTAGATAATATTTTGTGATGAATCCTAAGATGTAGCATGGAATTTTTAATGGAAAACAGAAATTGAGGGAAGAAAATGATCTTCTCACATCCTTGTCTCCTCCAGTGGTCTATTCATAAAATCTTGGATTGCTTGGTGTAGCGGTAACCATTTATTAATTGAAGCTTGCAAAGCTGTAATCCACCTAGAAGAAATGAAAGACCAACAACTGTCCCTGATCAGATGTTACGCAAGCATTTTTATATTCTTTGAAACACACCTTTTATAAATGGTGTTTACACAGCTGTGTTACTATGTACACTAATAGTAAGTGGATTGGAGAGGCACAGGAGGTGAAAGAGTTGACTATAACAACAACATATCTTAACACTGATTTCCAACATACTGAAAAGCTTTGTCCTTTTTCATTAAATTAAACCCCGTATCACTTTACTAATAAAGTGGCTTTAGATGAGACTTACACCCACTGAAAGACATGGGATTTAGCTGCATTATGATGAGGAAACTCACCTTCAAACATGATTTCATAGGCCAATTTTCTTTTTTTATTTCTAATGCTCTAATGGTAGGAAGTAAATCATTCTTGAGAATGGAAGGATATAGTTTCCATTTTCTCTCATGAGAGGTACCATACCTTTTCTGTTTATTGTAAACACCCACATATTATTGTGAAAAGCACCTTATTCAGGTTTCTTTCTGAACCTCTGCAAGCTGTCCTTGCTGTAGCTGCGGCACTGGCAATAGCATATGACTGCAGTTTGACTAAACCTACAAGCAAAGGGAAATCTGGGGGAACAAGTGAAACAGAACAAAAAGTTTTCACTAGATCTTCCCAAGCTGCAGTGTTCCTGCTGTCCTAAAGACTGGCAAATGTGTGTGTGTACAGGAAGTTTGGTTTACCTTTTGTTTTCGTTTACATTCTCTGCACATAAGTAGAAAGTTTTAAATTCTTCAGATGGAGGTTTGAGTTCAATTACAGACCTCTTGGAGCCCAGTGACTGTTCACTCACAGTATAACCCTGGAGGTAAAGGCCACCTAAACAGAATAAAATCATCATTATATTGCAGACAACATTTATGAAATTACTGCCAATTACAAGCAGACCAACAATTCTTGCAAGGTGGATTCTCAGATGCCTTGTGCTCGGTGTTTCAACAGAGTTGTACAGAGTTTATATGTAAAATAGAGTTGTATTTGCAAGCTCTCCTCAGTGCCTGAAATTCATCTCCTCTATACTTGCAGTTGATCTGGGTAGCCTCATGTTGCTGCTTTCAGAGAGTGGACAGACACCCAGTTCTGTTATGGGGAGAGCAGTTAGATGTGGTCCTCAGCTGTCCCTGACCATGCCCACATGCTGGAGCACCAGCCTCTGCTGCTGTAGGGACATTCTGCCTGTTGCTGCGTGGACCAGCTTTGCCAAGGCCATGTGAAAACCTGGTAGTTGCAGTGAAACTGAGTTTATGCTGTCCCTCCCTCTGAAAATGCTCCCCGACACACCGGAGTTGATAGCTTTCATCAGACTGCCATCAATAGGGCTGGCTCAACCACTGTAAAGTACTTTGGAAAGGTGGATCTTTTCTCTGACACTTGCTCCTGAGGTAATGTGCACAGATCTGGATTAACTCCATTGCAGAGAGAAAAGTGCAGACCATGGGGCAGAAAGGAAAGAAGATTGTGGGGGGAATGAAGTGGCTATTTTATGAAAAAAGGCTGAGAGTGGTCTTCCTTCACTCACCTTCATGGAACAGAGTGAGTTTGCTAAGAAGAAGCAACCATTAATGGTAAAAGTTCTATGTGGGAAATACAGTGAAACATTTCCCCTTTCACAATCAATTGGAATCCAGCAGCTGTCCCTACCTTGGGCAGGTGTAGACCGGAGAGTGGCATAAAAATACAAACAGCCATCCTTCAGAATGCAGTAGTGCTGAATCCAGGTGTCTTTGCTTCTGTCCAGCTGGTGGAGAAGCCCCAGGCACTCCGGGTTTTTGATAGCCAAGGGTGGAAGTGTAGTGTTATGCAGTGTGACATCTACCCACACATGGTTCTGTAAAGTAAACACGTAACAAATACTTATGGCAAGGTTTAAGGAAGCCCTGCTAGTTATAGTAAGACATAAGCTCCAGTTCACTGCTAGGAAATTAGCTTTTGTTGTGAAAACAATTTGAAAAGTGTTTTGGTTTTGCCTCTGATAATCTTCGTAGTAGTAGCTGGTATGTGGCTGTTTTTTGGATTTGTGATGTAAACAGCTGACAGTATAGGGATGTTCTCATTACTACTGAGCAGCGCTTACACAAAGGAAAGGGCTTTCCTGCTCCTCACCCCACTGCACCAGCAAGCAGGCTGGGGCTGCACAATGAGTTTCGGGATACACAGACAGGACGGCTGACCCCAATCTATAGGTATTGCTTGCCAGATCGTGTCATGCTCAGCACATTGAGCTGGGGGAAGAAGAGGGAGAGGGGGGTGTTCAGAGTGGGGCGTTTGTGTTCCCAATTAACCATTACCCATGTATATGGGTATGTATACCCATGTGTATGGCTTTTGATTTACTGTCTTTATGTCAACCCATGAGTTTTGTCACTTTTCCAGTTCTCTTCCCCATCCCACCAGGGCAGTGCGCGAGTGCCTGTGTATTGCTTGGTTACTGGCTGGAGTTAAACCACAGCAAAAGTCAGTGCTGAAAATCCAATTAGAAAAACCTGTATTTGATGGCAAATGGTGATAAGCTACTTTGTTTTTACAGTGATAACATCTTTTCTTGCATCTGTTTTGTTTTTCAGTACAAATTTTGCTGGTAAAAGTAGGGTTATTTCAAAATTGTATGAAGAAGCTTTTTTATAAAATAGTCTTGTTGATTTCCCAGTTAAAGACTTATCCAGCAGTCTTTACTGTGTGTAGTAGGAAGACATAATCCAGCATCCACCCTCTGGGCTCCAGAGCAAATAGTGACATATGAAGCCAAAATACAGCACTCAGACTTGGATGGAAGCACTACCACACATAAAGTGTTTAGAGATGCCTTCCCATGGCATTCCGGAAAGTAGAGGCTTTTTCGTTACTGAAATTTTCCTATTGTCATGTAGATGTGAAGAAAAAACTCAGCCCATGAGACATTGCCACTGTATGGGCCATTGGTATGATAAAAGAATCAAAAAAGGAAATCAGAAAAAAAAAACAAAACCCTGTTGTTTGGTAAGACCAAATTTTCTAATATGAAAGTAGATCATTTCTTCATCTCCTTAAAATCTGACAGGAGTTAGGAACTCAGACTCTCCTAGCATGTTTTGCTCATCTGCAATACATATTTTGGATTCTACATCAACCAGTGTCACTGTCATTCAAAATTCATGGGGAGAATGTGTGCAGTATGAATAGCATCCTGTTTATTTCTACAGAGGTTTCTTTTGCATTTATTTATGGTACTTGACAAGGCAATGATGAAAAGACCTGGCACAATATAGATAACTTAATTCTTTGCTATGGATGGGAAACCTGCTGGGACTTGGAGAAAAGTCCTTCAGTAGAAGAAGAAGGCAGAAAAGGCCTTCAGTAACACTAGGTGTATTCATAAAATAGTTATTCACTAAGGTGACATAGTGTCAGTATATTGGCCTGTTATATCATACACTAGTTATCGCAAAAAGTCAGCCAGAACAAAAAAAAAAAAAAAAAAAAAAGAAAAGCTTTTCCCTACTCAACTGAACAGAAAGTCCAGCTAGAGGGAAGCAACAGATATAGCGATCATTAAGAACAGAGGTTAGGCAATGAAACTGGCATATTAAATCAAACATTTCCTTCAGAAGAGGATATTATTTTCTCAAAGGCAAAACTAAAGAAGTAAAGCAATTAAAAATAAGATGCAGTAGCACAGAAAGGAGGCAACTCACTGTGTTGTTAATGAGTGAATGCATGAGAGATCTTTCTGTATATGTAATGGAACTTTTTATCTGGGAAGTTATTTTTGCATGTGTTGTAGTTTAAGTCCAGTCTGTAACTCAGAACCAGTCACTCTCTTACTCCACCCATTCCTCCTCTACCTGCTCCCGGAGGAATGGGGAGGAGAATCGGAAGAATATAACTCCCATGGGTTGAGATAAGGTCAGTCCAGTAACTAAGGTATAACACAAATCACTACTGCTATACCAATAATGATAATGATACGGGAAATAACAAGGGAAGACAATACAACCGCTCACCACCTGCTGACTGATACCCAGCCTGACCGAGCAGTGCTCTAGCCCTTCCGGGTAACTGCCCCCAGTTTACATACTAGGCATGACATGCTGTGGTATGGAATACCTCTTTGGTCAGTTTGGGTCAGGTGTCCTGTCTCTGCTTCCTCCTGCCTTCCCCTCCTCTCTGGCAGAGCATGAGACTCAGAAAGTCCTTGGTCAAAGTAAACATTACTGAGCAGCAACTAAAAACCTTGTTGCTATCAGCACTGTTCCCAGGCCGAAAACAGAAAACACAACACTGCACCAGCTACTAAGAAGGAGGAAAATGACTGCTACTGCTGAACCCAGGACAGTATCTGCCCCTTATTCCATACCATTCACGTCATGCTCAGATCTCACATTTTCAATATACCATCACTCTATACTCTGTACATATATATATACATATATATACATCCACAGATTGAGAGAGAGAGAGAGATCATTCCTTAGTGCATGGACCAATCCCTATAAAGCTGCTGAGTCCATCCGGTCCATGATGTCAGGCTCCATGTCTTCTAACAGTCCTTCAGAGCAGGAGAGAGAGTTGATCTGCCAGGACTTCTCATATTTGTACTTCAGCCATCATCCTCCATACCAAAGAGGCTTTACTCGCTTGTTTTGCTTAATTGCAGCACGCTTCACACTTGTGAATAACCTGGGCGATAGTGTCCATTGCTAAGTCCACCCCTCTGTCATGAGTCCATCTCTATGTTACATCTCTGCCCTGATGGCCTGAAGTGTCATGGGCCCACCAGGCTCAAAATAATTTACTGTCCCCTTCAGCAGTTTCTGCAGCTTGTTGCTGGGGACTCCATACAGCTGCCTTCCATCTCCAATGCTTCCAAAGCACTGGAGGGGCCCAGTGGACTAGATACTTGCCCATACTTTCCCACACACCCTGCCACTCATGACTGTCCAGCCTTGGGGAAAACCTCTTGATGGTCCTCCTATATTGTCATCTAATCCTAGACAAGACCCAAACCTAACTCCGCTTAACTTTTGAGATCAGACAAAATGGTCGTGTGTAAAACACAGCCTGTATGCCTGCCAGCATGGTGATCCGCATCACAATCAGCAGGCAGGTCTCAAGGGTACCCAAAGGCCATTCACAACCTTCGGAACTCTCAAATGATGCTGCTGTATTTATCACTGGGGCTGGCGTAGCTGCTGTGGTTGGAGCTGGAGTAGCCGTGCTGTCTGCTGCAGTTGGAGTTTGAGTAGCTGCTGTACTTGCTGCAGGGGTGTGTGAGACTGTCTCCCTCATAGGCTGACCACCCGAGGAGGGGAAAAAACATGCGTAATTGCTATATACTCCTATTATATATTCCCAAGGTATAGAGGAGGTGACTACACTGGGAACACAAGCCAGATCAGTTTCATGATCAGTGAGTCCGTTGAATTACGAGTCATTACCATAAACTACAATGAAACAAGAACCTTAGCCCAAGACCCCCAGCCAATAAACACTAACACAGTAAATACTGGCTGTAAGTAAGGTACGACATGCTGAAACTGTGAGATCAAGAACAACAACTTTGACAGCCAATAAATCAGCATTGTGACGAGTGACTATTAATCCGAGAAAATATATGCTTATCACAAATACGATTAGACACACTCCGGTCTGATCTGTCATTGTCTAAACCCTTCATGCCCCATGTTGGGCACCAAAAAGAACTGTCATGGTTTAAGTCCAGCCAGTAACTCAGAACCACGTAGTCACTCTCTCACTGCCCTCCTTCCTCCCACAGGTTGAGATAAGAACAGTCCAGTAACTAAGGTATAACACAAATCACTACTGCTACCACCAATAATAATAAGGGAAATAACAAGGGAAGAGAATACATCTCCTCACCACCTGCTGACTGATACCCAGCCCGACTGAGCAGTGATCTCACCCTTCTGGGTAACTGCCCCCAGTTTACATTTCGGGCATGACGTGCTGTGGTATGGAATACCTCTTTGGCTAGTTTGGGTCAGGTGTCCTGTCTCTGCTTCCTCCTGGCTTCCCCTCCTTCCTGGCAGAGCATGAGGCCCACCAAGTCCTTGGTCAGAGTAAACATTACTTGAGCAGCAGGTAAAACCATTGGTGTTATCAGCGCTGTTCCCAGGCTGAAAGTCAAAACCACAGCACTGCACCAGCTACTAAGAAAGAGAAAAACGACTGCTACTGCTGAACCCAGGACAGTATGTTACACTAAAGAATTACTCTTTTGATGTGTTTTCTTTTGTGTATGTGTGCCTTTATCCTCCTTTTTGGCTTAGACTGGTTCTTGTTTCTTTTGGCTAAGGTACATGCCTTATATTTGATTTATTTTTGCTGCTTTAAAGTAAGTGGATTCCTTTTTATTCTTTTAAGAAACACTGCCAGGTAGAATATACTTTGAAACAAATTCGGTTTTGGACTTACAATCTCATCTGAAAGCTGAAGCCACAAGAAATGTATGTTGGATCGATTTTGTTTCAGGGGAAAAGGAATTACAGTAACAATAAACACCTCCTTTCACTATCTGGAAACCCATCACTAAAGCGCACTGCTGAAGGACTCACTCATGTGCCCTGACTTAGGAGGAGGAAAGCAAATTTCTTTTCATGTATCTATTTACTTACTTAGGCATTAATTCAGGTTATAATTTGTACCTTGTATTTTTTTTATTATTGATGATTTTATTTTACCTGCAAAAAGGGCAGACTTTGATACTTTCCCTGCATTTGTGCCTCACATCATTTCTGCTAAAAAACAAGCTGTTTCAGTAACTAAACCTTTTTTAAAAAAGATTTTATAGGTCAACATCATATTTTTATAAAGATGTTCTGCCTATAGGACAGGATAAGAATCATGGGGTCAGGAAAGGGCAGGCTAAAGTGGCTTTGACCCCTATGCTTCAACCCTAAAAGTACTAAAATTAGCTTTGCAGTTCTTCAGGGTCCAGACAGGATTATTCATACTAAATTATGCTGAGGTGAGCAAGGTCTCCTTGGAGCAGCTCAAGATCAATTATGGCTGTGTTTCTCCTAGCCATAGGGGTGAGCAGAGTGTATATAAAGAGACAGAGAGATAAGTCAAAGTTTATGAACTAACTCACATTTCTTCATCTCTGAAAATACACAATAACTCTGCAAATCCCCTCTCCTTTTTAATATTATGTCTGAAAAAGCAGGTAGCTTGCAACCAAGGCAGACTTGCAGAAAATACTTAGAAAGATAGACCCCTTCTCTCACTTTGCTCCAGATAGTATCGCCCAGGGAAGATCATGTGGACATGAGTCATTGCTCCCATTCCTGCCTTTCCACTACCCTCATCTTAGGTTATGGTTTTGAACCACCTTAAAGCTGCTGATATCTGGAGAGGGAGCATCTGACTCTTTCCACCTTATGACAGTAAAGCTGAGTCACAATAATGTCTGTATACGGCTTCTAGATTGGAGCTGACTCACGTCCCAGCAGCAAAAAAGTATGCAGCTCCAATGTTGCTGTCTGCACCTGAGCATGCACAAATATTTCTACTGTCTCTCAGTAGAAATGTCTCTCATGCTTTTCATATAAAGAAAGCATTACCTGGTGGACAGGATGCACTGCTTTATCCATAGCCTCCAGCCACCTATAACATGACAAAATATGAGAACTGCTTAGCTTGGTAGAGCAGAATAAATGTGTTTCACTGCCTCTTTTAACTTTTACAGACATAGCATCTATCAGATGTGCAATTTTCAGGACACATTCAAGGATTCAAGACAGAAAAGTTGTGTATTAGATTGAAACAAACATTGATAACTCTCAGAAAATAAGTCTCAAAAAAGTTGTTACATGTGTTTTGGTTTATAATTTAAATCTCTTTGTTTTATCAGCTACAGTTGATAGGAAATGCAAAAAGAGTATTTTTTAGGTCTAACTCTGAGTCAAACCAAACTCACTGACTCTTACAAGAACCAGTATGCTTTTCAGGCATACTTGCATTTTAACATACCAAAACAGTAATATGGCTGAATGACAGTAGAATAAATGGGAGATGATATCGTATTTATTTCTAACACTGTCCTTGTTGGGCAAAAGAGAGATTGTTCATGTGAAATGACCGATAAGCAAATTTACATGCACAAGGAAGATGTAAATTTCCCTTTGATATAACAGTACAGAAAAAGGTATGAGAAGATGGGTGAAGTTTTTTTTTTTTTTTTTTTTGGAGATAAATCAGAAATTATGGGGCATCTTGAGCAAAGCATGAATATTAAAGCCTTAATGAAAAAAACACGTAAAAATAACTATGAAACTGAAAAACAGTTTTTGAAACTTCTGCAAATGAAAATTAGAAACACTATCTTCCCATAAACGGCTGACAGATTTGTTTACTTTTTTCCTGCTGATAAAGGCAGGTATTCTGAACATCCTCTAAAAATTCAAACTCTCTCTCCCCAAACCAGAATAACAAAACTGACCCTGTAAATGAACGATCACTTACCTCTTCATTTCTTGGTTGGAAGTTGCACAAAAATAGAAAATCCTGTTTCCACTTTGAGGTATGCATTTAAAAACAAACGGTTTACCTAGACTGGTGTCAACACCAATTTCTGCTCCTTCCAGCTTTGTTACTTCCAGAGGTCTGCACTTCCCTTCATCCTGCAATTACAGAGAAAGAGGGCCAAGGTTCAGAAATAACATGAAACTGATGCCTGTTAGATGGGGATAAATTCAGGAAATACTCAAAGATGTAGAAGCCGGTGATAAGCTCTTATGCTTTTGAACCATCATATGTTTCAAAATTGCTCATGTGGTTATATCATATGATTCATCTCTGCTCTCGTGAGACCTCACTTGGAGTATTGTGTACATTTCTCATAATTACAACATAAGAAGGACATGGAGCTGTTGGAGCAAGTCCAGAGGAGGGCCAGGAGGATAATCACAGGGCTGGAGCACCTCCCATATGAAGACAGGCTGAGAAAGCTGGGGCTGTTCAACCTGGAAAAGAGAAGATGCATGGAGACCTCATAGCATCCTTCCAGTATCTGAAGGGGGCCTACAAGGATGCAGGAGAGGGACTCTTCATTAGAGACTGTAGTGATAGGACAAGGGGTAATGGATTTAAACTTACACAGGGGAAGTTCAAGTTAGATATAAGGAAGAAGTTCTTCGCTGTGAGAGTGGTGAGGCACTGGAGTAGGTTGCCCAAAGAAGCTGAGAATGCTCAGTCCCTGGTACAGTTCAAGGCCAGGTTGGACAGGGCCTTGAGCAACCAGGTCCAGTGGGAGATGTCCCTGCCCACGTCAGGGGAGATGGAACTATATGATCTTAAGGTCCTTTCCAACCAAAACCAGTCTAAGATTCTATGGTTCAATGATCCACAGCCACAGAAAATATAATGCAGTCACAAAAAATAAACTACTGTCATGGTTTAAGCTCAGCCGCAAATCATGCAGTTGCTCTCTCACTCCCCGCTCCCAGAGGGATGGGGATAAGAATTGAAAGAATGTATCTCCCACGGGTTGAGATAAGAACAGTCCAGTAACTAAGGTATAACACAAACCACTACTGCTGCCACCAATAATAATAATGATAAGGGAAATAACAAGGGAAGAGAATACAACTGCTCACCACCTGCCGACTGATACCCAGCCCAACGGAGCAGTGCTCTAGCCCTTCTGGGTAACTGCCCCTAGTTTATATACTGGGCATGATGTGCTGTGGTATGGAATACCCCTTTGGTCGGTTTGGGTCAGGTGTCCTGTCTCTGCTTCCTCCCAGCTTCCCCTCCTCTCTGGCAGAGCATGAGACTCAGAAAGTCCTTGGTCAGAATAAACACTACTGAGCAACAAATAAAAAAATCGGTGTTATCAGTGTTGTTGTTCCCAGGCTGAAAGTCAAAAACACAGCACTGCACTAGCTACTAAGAAGGAGGAAAATGACTGCTACTGCTGAACCCAGGACAACTAGTCAAACACCCTCTAAACTTGCATTTCTATTTTTGCTTCTTAATTGGTTTTGGTTCATCAGAAGTCATACCTGCATGTGAAAACCTTGCTAGGTATTTGCAAATACTCCAGCTTCTGAGGGTGCAGCTGAGTGAGGGTGCACCAAAGAATTTAGGAGCATGAGCCTCTTTACTAATCAATGCTGCTTGAGTCCAGGTTTATGCTGAAAACCTCACCTTGTATATACACATAGAGGGAACAATGCTCACATTCAGAAAATAGTAAGCATAATTTTAAAAGATGCATTTCAGTTCTTTTAAGAAGTTGCCCTAAATATTGTTAGAGTCATAAACGTTTCCATTAATTTCAGACAACTTTCAAAGAAAAGCATTAGAAAACCTTTTTGTTTGTTCCTGATTGAATTAAAGCTCTTTGAGACTGAAGGGCATTGTCTGTGTCTTTCTCTGTGGTTAGTTATAAGAAGCCATTAAGCTTCTTAATGTAAATAGGTAGGTAAAGCAGTTCCTTGCCCCACTTTCCCAGCCCAGGTGTCCTCAAGCACAAGCCTTAACACAAAATAAAGGTGCACACATCTGGACAGTGAACTGTAGCAGTGTTATAAACAGTATTCTTAGCCCCCTTGCTTTGAAGAGCTATGACTGGAGCTCTAAAAATTCCATAAAGTTTGGTAGCAATAAAATGGAAAAATGAGTTAATGCTGGGACATAGGAAGAGTGTTAGTGCTATTTGCAAAATACACAGATGGTAGAGAATAAGATCAGTTGATTATTGGGAATTAATTAAACATTGTTAGTAGGAGCTAAATTGTAAATGCCTCATTTCATTTCTTTATTGGCCTAAAAATAAACATACATATCCTTTCATGAACAAAATGCACCTGTGGCTAATATATAGTTAAATACTTTTTTTTTTTTATGCTCATTGGCATGTGACTATCATAGAATCATAGAATGGTTAGGGTTGGAAAGGACCTTAAGATCATCTAGTTCCAACCCCCCTGCCATGGGCATGGACACGACGCACTAAACCATGTCACACGAGACTCCCTTTGTTATACAGGCATATTCCTGTATATAACCCCTAATACTGAAAACCAGTATAAATAAACATTCATGAATGCATTTCCTAGATTCTTCTGCTTTCTTCTTACTTTTTTTTTTTTTTTTAATTAAAAAACTAAAGTCAATACAGAAGATAAATGCAATTGTGAATGTCATCAGTGCTGTGACCTACTTTACTTATAATAGCTTCAGGCACAAAACCATGTTGAAAGACAACATAACCAAAATATGTTTTAAGGCTCCAAATCTCATTCCTAGTGTAATACATAATAAGTGCTAGGTTAATGAAGTGTTATTCAGCAACATCCTGTCCGTGGTCTGTGTTCTGCTGACTCCTAGCCTGAAGGGAGGCACTGTGCCTGTCACTACAGACACTGAAATGGCTGTGTGATCACTATTATTGCCCATTGCTATGAATTCCTTTTCTAAACACTTTCTGTGCTGTCTGGAACAAATGTAGATATAGAGCTCTGTGCCATTAAGAATTATTTATGTCCACTCCGTTTCAAATTTATATACCTAGGAAAGGAATAGGATAGATTTGAGGCATTCAAAGTGAGATGAAACATCCTTCATTGACTAATAGGCAGCCATAGACCCCTAACTCTGATGTCAGATGTGAGAGACATTTCGGCCATGTGGCTTTCATGAATAACATCTTGAGAGCATTACTTTGGCAAGTATCTCTTTGTTACAGTAAACAGACTCAACAACTGTATGGTATCTTTCGCAAGTAGACCTGAATTACTTATTTATTTTGTTTTGCTTTAAATGATTTATGTCTAAACTAGAGAGAGTAGAAACATACCGAAGAGCTAGATAATAGGTGAAGGAGATGTAAGAGCTCCTCTAATTTGAAGAATATAATTATCCTACACCTAACTGTATTAGCTGTCAGATGAAGTACAATCAGTTAGTCTTGTGATATGCCTCATTTTCACATTCCAGATAATCCTTTCATTAAGATTGAGTAATTCACTGCAATTAGTTGCACAAAAAGTAGCAAACAGTGTGTAGGACAAAGCCTAACAGAAAGAACTATTGATTGGTTAAAATCTGGAACAACTTGAATCAGGTAAAATAATATACCTGGGTATGACTCTCAGGGTCAAGGCATGCACTCTGTTAGTAGGCCAAAATTAACTTGCATTAGTACCAGCCAGTGTTATTTCTTATTTTTAATAGAAGTAATAAAGTGCAAGTATTGGAAACCTTGGACTCAGCACCTCCTTTAATGTAAGTTGAAAAATATATCCTGGAGCCATGGAAGTCATGGAAAACGTAGAGCAGAATCAGATTGTATATGATCTCTAAATAATTTGGCAGCTCCCAGACTGTGATGATAAAGCTCCAAGCACGAAATAAGAACAAATAGAAGTGGTATCTTTATGAACAATGGCTCAGACCTAAACCTATTTATAGCTAAGCCTTTTATATAAAGCACTTGGGCTTAGTGATGAACACAGGCTTGCTCAAGAAAACAAAGGACTAAATGTCTGTCATAGATTGAAATAATGTGGAGGGTCCACACATGGCAGGCAGGGGATTTCTTTCTTGGTATAATAACTGGACTGAGTATAGGCCACAGAAATAAACAATAATTTAAAAGATTTTTCCCCCCTCTCTCTTCTATTCTATTGGGAATAGATTTAAGGATGCATATAAGCAACCAGAAGCATGTACTATAGTGTCTGAATTAGACAATTTTTGTAAAGACACTTTCTGTAAAATGCCCTGTTCCCATGTACAGAGAACACAATTATAGGAAGAAAAGGGAATATTTAAGGCTGTGTTTAAATTTCCTCTTTGTGTCACAAGAGGGCTTTCACTTGTTCTGTGGGGCTTGGGGGCACAGTGATGTGTCTTGTTGTGAATAAACAGTAACTAGAAAACTGGTGTCCATCTGACTATACAAGGTGTGTAAATGTTGGTGTTAAATCTTATTTGGAAAAAAAAAGAATTAACAAATTTTAATAGTTTCCAGGCATTCCGTATCAGGTAGAGGGTGGGAAGAGAGTAATTTATGAACACAAACATACCCTAATAGAGACAACTAAGAAACTGCTATTTTCTTCAGAAAGACATCACTAATTAAAGAATATTCAATGAGGAAAGCATTCTGCTGTTGAGCAAAAGTGAAGGTTATGGACCACTTTGATCATAAATAACACTGTGTAAATTATTTGAGCATTACTTAAACGCCAATGTGCTGGCTGATTTAAAATGCAATAAAGAGAGAAGACAAGATTCTGTTGTGCTATTGAAATGGATTGGTTTAATAATGGAAACAGGAATATGGACTTACATCTGATCATTTAGGTAATGTAATAGCTGTTTACCAGGCTAGGTTCTAATTGCTTTTGGATGTTAAGCATTCCCATTGCCCTCACTTCAGCTTTGAGAAACTTTGCCTTAGTCACTCACACTATGCCTGCAGGCTTCCTAAAGGCATTAAACTTCAGAGCCTAAGAAAAGTAAACCATACTTCTTTTTTAAACTGACATTATTATATATAATCACAGTGAAGACTGTCAAAAAGCACAACCCCTCCCCCACATAACTGCTGCCACTGTGTTCAGTGAGAGTAGTTCTCAGGAGTATCCGTGGATGCTTTCTTACAGTGTGT